TTTCTTTCACGATGTATACCATGTTATATATAATATCAAATAAAGAAATGATGCTTACCTATGAGGGGAAACCCCCCAAAAAAAATAAAATAAAATAAAAAAATAAAATAATATAATATGAAGAAAAAATTTTAAAATAAATCAAGTAAATTATTTAATAAAATATAAAATCAATTGTAAAATATTAATAAATTAAAAAATATATATTTTTTAATATATCTAATATAAAAAAACTATTAGAAAAAATTATAAATATAAGGTTTTGTATAATTGAGTCCTAGTTCTGCTTAAAATATTTAATCAGAGGTATATATTTGGACAAATACTTTCTTTAAGGATTCTAACTTTGTTAACATTATTACATATTCAAGAAGATTTTGCATGAAATAGTCTTCTTGTTTTATTTTTCTAATTCCTAATTATTATAAAAAACTATAGTCAATTTACTTCTTCCAAAAGATCAGTATAAGAAGATTATATCTTATTGAGATCAAGACTCCCAACAAAAAAAAAACTCATAGGTTATATTATAACAACAAAACTGATTACTGAATCCAATATACTAAAATTCAACTTTTTTTATCCAATCATATTTTTTTTCATCACCAATACTTAGTGAGCATATATAAGTGACTAGTAAAATAACTAATAGCTAGCTTTTATCTGTTATTTTTTTTTCCTTACAAGGAATTTTTAAGTTCTATGTGTTATTTATTATAATAAGTTACAATTAATTTGTCTAGATATAGATTGTTAATATAATAACATTAAATATTTTTATTTAAATAAAGTCTCACATTTAATGCCTATTCACAAAAAAAAAGTAGCTTTAAAATAAAAATACTTATAGAAAATATATCTAGAAATTTTTTTTAAAAAAATTAAATATATTTAATATTTATGATATGCAATATTTGCAAATTAGCAAAGCTTAAAAAAAATTTATAAATAACAAGAATTAACATATACGAATACGTATTCTTAGTAAAAAATCACAGGTAACCAATTAGAAAACGTAATATAAATATATGTATATATACAGTATTAATTTAAAAATTTGCTTGAAATTAATTAATACATTAAACACGTGACTTATACAGATTAAAGAATAGATAATTATAATAAATTTTTTCAAAATTTTAACCAATTTATATAACTGATTTTACAATTGAAAAATATATCAACTTCATGTGGCATTTGAAATAAGTAGGGTAACGTCGATTATAGTTCATCCACGTCAAATCTGTGTTTTTTTAAAAAGAAAATACATAAAATAATGATTAAATTTATTTGTTACAATTAAATAATAGATTTGAGATTTTAACGTGGACAAACTATTTGAACGTTGGATGGCAACTATAGCATCGATAATTGCACGGGAAACTTTGTAGACGTCCCGTTACAAAGCATGTGTGCCAATTTTTCGTGTACTCAATCTTATTAAAGAGTTTTTGCTTATACCAACATAAATACTGGATTTTAGCAAGTCTCTGAATACCAAAATAAACTTGACTTCATTATGATGTGATAACTATTTAATCTATAAATGACGAAACGATTCATCCAAGATGGAATCATAATTATGTCAGTAGATATCTTTAATACTTTGAAATATCAAAGGAAAAAATTTTACTTCCTTTTCTTTCACATACCCTGCTAGATTACGCTTTCGTATAAAAGGTGAGTGAATTCCCAACTGAATTTTTTTTTTTTTAGTATCGGATTAAAGTAATCCTGTAATACACAAATTGCAATATCGCGAAGAAAATGGCGACCGAAGAAAGAATTCTTACAGAAATCCCCCAATACAAAGTAACAGTGGAGAGACCTGTACCTCGTGGGTTGGAGGATGCTTTAGGGAATGCAGGTATGAAATATCAAGAAAAAATTTAAATCTCAACTTGAAACTAAGTTTTTTGTCAATTTTTTAGGTCTTCCTCGTGCGAACGTGTCAGTTTCTCGTGAAAAACCTGAAGGAACTGAAGGAGCACCTTCACATAGAACTGTTAAGTACTCCGCTATTTAATCTATTTTTAGGGTCTAATAAATTGATTGAAATAAATTATTTGATCTTAGGTTTTACAACAACATTGTGATTTTTTTGATGAAGACCATGACAACGTTATTCGTCCTTTTGACACGTATAGAGGTTTGTCGCTTCTTTTTACCTCGTATGCTCATCCAGTTCCTCAATATTAACTTAATTTCAAAACAGGATTTCGTCGATTAGGCTTCAATATTTTATATTCTCTTTTCTCCATGACAATCATTCACATTGGCTTCTCCTATGTGACTCAAAACAGTTGGATTCCATTCTTTGGCAATCCATTCTTTAAGATTTATATCGACAAGATTCATAAATGCAAGCACGGATCCGACTCTGAAACATACGACACTGAAGTAATATTCAGAATATGAAATTTTACTAAGGTAGAACATTTAAGTGACAAATTTTCATTCAATATTTTACAAAGGGTCGATTTGTTCCCGAGAAGTTCGAAGAAATCTTTTCAAAATATGATAAAGATGGAAAGAATGGACTCACTTTCGCTGACATTCGACATTTACTTTATGGAAATGCTAACGTTGGTGATATATTCGGATGGATTGGAGGTTGTGTCGAATGGGGTACTCTGTACATGTTGTGCGCCCAGGATGGTATTGTCAGCAAAGAAGATGTCCGCAGTATGTACGATGTAAGTTTTAACGTTTACGATAAGATCTTAATGACAAGTTACTCGCTTGTTCTTTAATTAATTTTTCTTGATGGCAGGGTTCTCTTTTTAACAAAGTTGCGGCGTCTCGTAAATCTCATTCGTCTTCTCTTTATAATGGTGTCAAACCTGGCTTTGATTATCTTAAAGATCATGCCAAAGATTCTTAAGGAATATTCTTGCATTCAATTTTGTGCAGAATTATTCCTTGGAAATTATCTTTACATATATGGATACTTCCTTGATTTTCAAATTAATTTGCTATTTCTTCTTTTGTATTATGATATCATTTTTTGAATTTTTAGCATCATTAAATTCTTTATAATATAAATTCTCAACTTTGCATCTGTTCGATCTAAATTTTCTCGTTTTACGTCTTTTGGTTTCACAAATTCGGGTATAGAGTACATGTTGGTTTGTGAATGGAACTGAGGTAATCAACTTTCCCTGAAAGTGAATATTTTTTTTGATAAGTGATACAGAAACTTAAATTGTGTACTTCAAAATATCAGCTGAAAATAAATAAAAGTATTATATTTAATATATGGTGGCTCATTAAATTTATAAATCATTAGTTCAAATTTTATAAATTTTGATATGATAAAGTTTGTTTTTTTTTAAGATTTTTTTATTAAATTAATTTTAGTTTTAAAATTCATATTATTTTTCTTGAAGTATTTTAAAAAATTCATAAAATTTTTTGGGAAATTAGAATTGATTAATTTAATAAAAAACATAATAAAAAAATTATTTTTAATATATATATAAACTTTACTATAGTATAAAAATTGAAATTTTTATTATGTTTTAATATAACTAGTAATATTGGTTTATAATATTTAATAAGAATATTAATATTTAAAAAATTTTAAATTAACTAAATTTAAATTACAATATTATTTCTATATATAATATAAATTAAAACTATATTTAAAATTTCTTTTTAATATACTTATATAGTGAAAAATAGTATAATTGGTTTAGTTTAACCTAGTTAACTAATATAATAAGTTTGTTTAAATAGTACAGAAATCAAATATTATTTAAAAACATAGTCTATACTTTTTCAAGTTATCAATAAATAAAATAAATGATAATGGTTCACTATTTTATAAATAATAATAATAATAATAAATTAAATTATAATTATAAAAGTTTTTTAAAACTATTTGAAATTTAACAATTAAAATCATAAAACTTTATATTAAAAATATTTATAATATTAATTGTTACAAATTTTTAAATAAAATTATAAATTAATAAATAATAAACCAATAAATTAAATAATCAAATAATCAAATTTAGATTTTAATCTTTAATAATTTTAATTATATATAAAATTCAATTATTTAATTGATTTTTTTAAATATATATTAAATAAAACCTTTTTTTATCAATTGTAAATTTTATAATATATATTTTTGATAAATAAAATAAAAGTTTAAATTAAATTAAAAAACTTTTTATACTTTCCTTTCTATACTTGAAATTTTTCTTTTTAGAAAACTTTTGAGTTGTTTACTTTTTTCGTTTTTCCTTTCTTTTTTCTATTTCCTCTTTTTTATACTCTTTTCTTTTTTTCCTCTCCTATTTTTTTTCTTCTTTTTATAAAACTCTTTTTTATTTATTTATCTCCTTTGTTTCTTTTTTTTCTTCCTGTTAAAATAAGATTTTTTCTCTTTAGACCTCTCTTTTTTTTCAATACTTTGTCTTTTATCTCATTATTTCTTTGGTTAGTAAACTCTCTTTTCTCAAAAA